AACCAAGTCACTGTCTCCGAGCTTCCTTTCTCGACGGACACGACACTTTCAAAGTCCTTTTCCCACTCTCTTCTTGAGCCAAGCAAAATGCCTGAAGATAGAGTGGGCCTGTTTTCAAATTTTGCTGGAAAATTTGGCCTTCGATATCCAAGAAGTATTACAAGATGCTATCAAACCTCTTTGGAGAAGTCCAAAAGCAAAGGTGTGCATTTAAAAAAAAGTGTTCAGTTCAGAATTTTTTATCAGAAGGGAAGCTAGTCTGCAATTGTGTGGAATTTTTGTGTCAGTGCTGGTATATTCAGATGCTTTTTTCCCTCACCCAGACATTTGGCAGAACATGAGTTTTTGTCTGGCATTTCTTGTTCCACCTGCTGCAGAAGAAATAGGCTTTCCTGATCAATATAGGGCCACATGGTGCTTTGCCTTTACACAACGGAAGATCTGTTTTTGAATTCCAGCAAAAGCAAGCAAGAAAATTGAAGCTAGCCTTTTGTTCTCTCTCAGCCTGTCTGCCAGGAGACAGTACGAAGGTGGAAATAGATTAAACATTCACCGACAATGAAACACAGCATGCAAAAAGAAGCTGGCCACTCTCTTCTGATAGCCAGATTACAAATGTCCTCTAAATTAAGAGCCCCCAGCATAACACATGTACTGTAGGTGCCAGAGTGCCATGGATATTTTTCTAGGTGCCCAATCGGGCCATTTTTACTTTTCTAACTTTTATTATTCTAATTTTAAACAAAATTTAAGTGTGAACTCCAGACTCACCTTTATTTCCAAAACTGACCTTGGATTCTGTCTAAAAATTAAAGGTATTCTTAGAAGATCACAATGATGGTTCTTCATTTTCTTTATGTACCTATCCACTGAGAAAAAGACAAAAGCAAATTGAGACGTAAACTTAACAGTTTGCATTCCAAAATATTGGAATTTTGCAATTATATGCCCACCTCCCATTGTGACAGTTCATGGTTATCATTTTGCTTGTAAAGAGGAAAAATTCCCCATAGTTTGTGAGTGGAGATCACAGAACCTGCTTCAGCCAAACGTATTTGAGCAGGACTGAGGACAGACTACCAGGTTCTGCCCATTGAAGTAAGATACAAGCAACCTTTTTATCATTGCATAATAAGTGCTGACCAGTAATTTTCTGCTTTTGGTGAAATAATAAGAATAAAATGGAGATTGACTCTAATTTGTTTTTGTGACTAGTTATGTCCTGGTTCCCATCTGAAAGTATCGGTGCTGATTTAAGATAATGTGTGATCCAGCAAAGCAAGCAATTCAGGAAGTTTACTTGAGCTCAGGAGCCTTGGTAGTTTAGAGACCATGGTTCAGGTCTTTGTCTTACTTCTTCATCTGCACACCCAAAACATATTAAAAATGTACTATATTAGCATACTCCAAACCCTCACAACTGATTGGTCCGGACGGACAGCAACCTGATTGGTCAAAACACCAGCCGTGATTGGAGCGCTAAGAATCTACCGCGATTGGCCGCGCCGATCGCGGGAAATTCAAAGCGCTGCCATTGGCCGCCGAGCCGCGAGCCGGCCTATATGAAGGGCTGCCGCGGCTTGGATTCTTTGGACTATTCTGATTCTAAATAAAGAGCTGAACTCACTAGAATGGTCTCGCGTCTCCTTCGAACCGATCTACCTCAGATCTAACAAAAAATGCTATATTTCCCTGCTGAAAAGAGTTAGGGATCTTGACTTTGGCTGCAGGCAGCAGGCACAGGTGATACAAGAGGTTGGTGTGGTTAGAGGTTTTATCCCAATGAGATGTCTTTCACAGAAGTCCTTTGACTATTCTTTTTGCAGCTGTCTTTTGTGGCGATCCAGGAATCCCAGCAGATGGGCGGCGTGAAGATCGAGGTTTTACTTACCGCTCCTCTGTCTCATATTCCTGTCTGCCCCCATTAGTGCTGGTGGGATCAGCTCGGAGGTTCTGCCAGACCGATGGATCATGGAGCGGGACCCAGCCAAGCTGCATTGGTAAAAAGATGGGACTTTGTTGGGAAACAAAATAATAAAAATGCCTCTGCCTTTTCTTGGCAGGGTTAAGGAAGTGGTTTCCCATTGCTCTACTCCAAAAAGTTTTCCAACTTTTATATCTTAATATTCCCTGGAAAGCTCCCTCCAAAATACTAATCTGATCCAATCCTATTTAATTCCCAAGCAAGGTGTTGTCAAGAATATGAAATACAAGTAGCCTTCAATTTACAACCACAATTAGGACCAGAACTTTTGTTGCTTAACAAGGTTGTTAAATGAGTCATCCCGATTTTACAATCATTTTGCCATCGTTGTTAAGGGAATCCCTGCAATTATTAAGTGAATCTTGTGCTCATTAAGCACAAGTCTTCCCTCATTGACTTTGCTTGTTGGAAACCAGCCGGGAAGGTCACAAACGACGATCACTTGATCCTGGGATGCTCCAACCATAGTTTGTTAGCTTAGATCAGTGATGGCTAACCTTTTTTGGGCTCCCATGCAGATAATTGCATGCGCGCTTGCCTGCTCATCCTCGAATGCCATCACCCAGAAGGCAATGCGTGCCCCCCCATGCCTCCTGCGCATGCACATGCAACTCGCACTGTGCGCTTCTGCGCGAGTGTCTCCTGAGTGCCACCGTACTCCCACACATGTGCGCCAGATACCTGACAATCAGCTGACGGGTGGGTGGTGTGAGCACATGCACAGTAGGCCTTTTCTGGGCGAGTGCTTGTGTGCCAGGGGAAATAGCTCTGCATGCCACTTCTGGCATGCGTGCCATAGGTTCACCACCACGGGCTTAGATTATTGATTAGCCGATAGGCCATCCCAAAATACAGAATTCCAGGTACAAATTATTAATAAAATCCTATAAAAGTTTAAAATGGAAATTGGAATAAAATACAATAATTTGATATATAGATAAATAAAATGAGATGAAATTATATTTCAGTATCACCCCTGCAACCTACCCCAATAGTCCCACCTATGTCGATCTTAGCTGAACCATTTTACTCAAGTACTGTGCCGTATTAAGTATTGTTTTCAAATTCTGGCTGCACAGAAGGTCTTTGTTGTTTTAATATGGGGCTCCCAATGGGCTATTTGTTTAATATATGAACCAACGTACCTGACTCTCACCCTCTTATAAAAACAATAATCAAAGGCAACTATGGTAATATACAGGCTGGTTCCCAAGTGCCCAAATTTTGTTTACATGACCATGGGACCAGTTGTAGGTTACTTTTTGCAATGCCTTTTTTGCAACTACCTGTAATTCCCTAACCAATTCCACCAAAAGCAAGTTTGGACATTCTTCGGGGATTGCAGCAATACAGAATTTAAAAAGTGTCTGAGTAGTACTATCACTTCTAGGAAACAGACATTTGATACAAAATATGTTTGAAAGAAAGCTGTATCACAGAAAGTTGAGTCTAAAGTTTAATTCTGGTGTGTGTGTGTGTGTGTGTGTGTGTGTGTGTGTGTGTGTATTAGAGTTTAAACCAGGGAAGTTTGTATTTTAAAAAGCTGCTTTGTGGGCATTTACATATCAAAGATGAAAATGGTGAATTGCATTAAATGTTTAAATTTATACTAGAATTACTGTGCGGCAAGGAGAGAAATTTGTATGAAAAGCTTCAAAATGCATTGCATAGTTATGAATTTTTTTCAAATCCATGAAAAAAACATTGGTTTCAAATCTTGCACCATAAACTGAATCCTTTTAGTGACTCTGCATTCCCAAGTGAAAACAATAATTATTTGTTATAGTAAAAACTTAGAAGCCATCCTTCAGTAACTGACCTTGCAAACAAATATCTCCGTCTGGTGCTACCACCTGTGCAATACACTGCACCTTTCGATTTGGAACTTCTTATAGTTCCGTTTTTATTTTGTTTTATTTTATTGTATCTTTTCGTAATTACTTTCAGATCCCATTATAGATTTGGTTGCTTTAGGTGAGCCAGTGCAGTATAAATGAGCCCAAAGTCAAACCTCCGTTAAGCTCACAGATATGCTGCGAGTTGGTATATGTAGTAGGCTGGGAAGCTTTGGATGGGTTCTTTCCTTCTGCCACGGTTTGTGTGAACTCATTTCAAGGTTGTGTCTGCTCATCCACCCACTTGGTTTGCTTCAGTCCCTTCTGAAGACCTATCCAGCAATTCCCTAAAATCAGAAGATGTGGCACGCAGGGCTGGAGTTCACATGAAGTGCCTTTGCCTTTGTGCCATGAAAGGTCTCTGTGAGTCAGATCAGATTTCTCTCTCGCACACAAATTAATTAAGCACTTTCATTTGTTTGCTCTTCTTTTCAGATGCAAGTGTTACAACCTGCATGGATCCAGGTGTGCCCCTTTTTGGAATTCAAAACAATTCCCAAGGTTATCAGGTAATATATGATCATCTCCCCCTCCCTCCCTCCTTTCTTTTCTTCTCTCCTTTGCCCTGAACAATCTTCTTTATTTATATAATATAGCCGAAACTGCTAATTTGTCATCCTTAATCCAGGGACTGAATATATTCATTCTCTTTTTATGCAAAACACAGACAGTGATGATCTCTCTTTGGAGAGTTGTTATCTCTTGATTAAGCTGTTTGGTAAGGGAGACAATAGGAGGATTTTGCCAGAGGGACCTTTTATTAGATTCAGAGGTGGTCCTTGTGATGCTTGTGTTTCTAATGGAGACAAAATCAAATAGGCCCTGCCTCCCTTAGTAAATAACAAGATATCTCAAGCTGGAGGAAATCTATACAGAGAGTCCTCAACTTACAACGGTGATTGAACCCACAATTTGAATTGTAAATCTCAGCAGCCATAAAGTGAATCATTGTATGACCAAACCCTATTTTGTGACCTTTTTTGTGGCAGTTATTAAGTGGTTGCATAAAATGAACACCACTTTCATTAAGTGAACCCATTGTTTGTTATAGGAAAGTTGTAGACAGAAACCAGAAGGAAGCATCATCAACTGCAGTCATGAGGGATGCTGCAAATGACCATGATTTTGGGCTGGTTGCTGAGCAACAAAAATGTGGTCATGTGACCATGGGTGATGGGATCAGATATTGGAACTTTGAATCTGGGTCATAAACAGCTTTTTCGGAGTCCGTCATAGTTTGGAACAATTGCTCAGCAACCACTCATAAGTCAAGGTCTGTCTATATGGCCACAAAGAATCAACAATGACTTGATGGCCCATGACCAACTCAATCAAAATGGTTATGAACACAAGAGATTCTAAAATTTGAACTTCCCATCTGCATCTGAGAGGACAGCTGTCAGTAGCTTTATGAAAAAGGTCAACAGTCTTTTCATGTTGTTGGCACTACTGCCTAGTCTCACATGATAAGGCAATCCGTCCCTTTCCCCCAATTGAAAATTAAAATGGCCAAACATTTGTAAGTTTGTGAAACATGTTAACAGTCTCCTCTTTGAGAGGCCACTGGAATTTCATGAGATTTGATCACCTCATGAGAACAAACTTTTCAAAATATTATGTTATGTGTGAGAAACTCACAGTGTGACTAGAATCGTGAGTCCAAAATATTCCACATGGCAACATTTTGTTACATGTTCCACTAGTTTTTTTTTGTCTGAACCCCAAACTTATATTTCAAGTCTGAGTCACTCAAGAGCAAAAGGAGCTTCATAACACTGGCCATTGTAAGCTAAATCAAGTTCAGACCTGGCTCAGTCACTTTTTCAAGGACAGGTCTGAGGGGTAATATGTGAGGTTGAAATATCCATCTTCAACTAGATCAGTGGTTAACTAGATGAGTGGCTATATTTTGTGACCTTTTTTGTGGAGGTCATTAAGTGGTTGCATAAAATGAATGGCATGATCCCAACACAACATGCACAACATGCTAAATTTGCATTGTTTCTCATTGCAATAGGTTGGAAGTGTCATCTTCTTCAAGTGTCATAAAGGATATCTGCTGCAAGGGTCCACCACCAGAACCTGCCTTCCAAATCTGACGTGGAGTGGAATTCAACCAAACTGCATCCGTAAGTCTTAGCTTCCTCAGTGTTGGCAGAACAGTTGATGCAATTGAATCTCAACCTCAGCCACTTGAAGACGTATGGACTGCAACTCCCATAATCCCTCAGCTGGCATGGTTGGCTGGGGTATTCTGGAAGTCGTAGGCCATACATTTTCAAGCAGCTGAAGTTGAGCACTGCTCTGTGCTAACAATCCAGGTTTGCAGTATATACTCAGATGCCAGATCTTAATTTTTGCTGCCTGGATAGATAATGTGGAAATGAGAAAATGCAAACCAGCCTGCACAGACAAATCCCAGAAAGCAAGGACGCATGAAGTATCTGAAGGCATTGTTTCAAAATATGCCTTCTTTTGAGTCAGGCCAGCTCTTGGCTATAGACAGGCTTCAATCTTTACCCAACCAGCAGCCTTGCCCAACCTGGTGAAATACCTGACATTTTCAAATAACATTCAGCAATCTGCTGGAAATTCTAGGGGATGTAGTCCAAAAGATCTGAAGGATGCCCTTTCTTAGGCCTGGCAATGGTGGGTCCATCAGGTGCTTTCCTCCATGTCTTTGCAGCACACAACTGCAAGGAACCAGATACCCCAGCCCATGCCAACGTGGGTGCTCTGGATCTGCCTTCGCTGGGATACACCTTGATCTATTCATGCCAGAGTGGCTTTTATCTCACTGGAGGATCAGAGCATCGGACTTGTAAGGCTGATGGCACCTGGACAGGGAAGCCTCCCATTTGCTTGGGTAAGCAAAGCTGCCAACTGAAAGACAGCTCTGTGTCTACAGAACATCTTATTGTTTCCACTTGAAATTCATCTGTTGTATTTCAGCCATGTGTTTCATGGACTCTATTTCTGTCCCCTGTTCCCCAGACCTAGAGGGTTAAAAACTGCCTTTGTTAGATCAAACCCCAGAAGGCCATTTTTGCTCATCATTTTCCACCAGTGGTAGCCAGAACATTAAGGCAAGAATTCTATGTGATTCTTTTTTCACTTCTGGTGCTCAGTTGCCTGCTCACTTTGGATGATCTCAGCAGTGTTCATATAAAATAAAGCTTCCTCTATCAATGTTAATCCTTTATATCAGATTTCCCCCAGAATACCTTACAGCTAGAGTAAACAAGGGTGGTGTTTTTTTTTTGTTTTTTGTTTGCACATTATGAAATCTGAAATTTTGGGTTGACCACTTTTGCTAGTTCAAATAGTGAAACAAAAAAATGGGGAGATCACTTTTGTCTAGTCTCTTATATCATCCATAATTATAGAATTGGTAGGAAGAGAGTCTTCCTACACTACAGAAGCAAACAAGTCAACCTGGTAGCATTTTTTTTCTGACTAACATGCTTAACTATGTTAAATTAAAAATATTAAATATTAGGAAGTGTGATCTAGCATCAAGATAAAAACCAGGAGACTCTGATTTTTGGTCTCACTTTAGGCATGAAATCTGGCTGGGTTTCATATATATTCAACATAGGAGGTGGAAGGTATGCTCACTGCCTTGAGTTATTTATAAAAATAACAAAGGACTAAAAAAAACCAACTTAAAATTGGGGCAGTTCCAAAGGTAGTGGTTGCATTCACACACAGCATTAGCTGTGATTAGCTTATTTTTCAAATCAGTTAATGGTTCCATACATTCTTCCAGAAAGTGGGTTAACTCAGAACCAAGTTGAAGAGAGCAAGTGATCACAGTGGCAACATAAGATCTTCTTTATATTCACCTGTTATTAAAGATGTTCACGTCACCTTATTAAGATATGAACTCTTGCTTTGATTGTCCTTTTAAGCGGATGTCCGACCCAGTAGGCGACCTGTGGGTGCTGCAAAGGATCAGCATCTTCCAAAAGTCTCAGGTACCTCTTTTTCCTAACTACCAAATGCATAAAAACACAATAAAAATGAAACAGTATAGCAAATTACTTGACTTTCAAGGTCTGTAAATATATGGACACACTGTCAATTTTCTTAAAGGATTAAAATCTCAAACCATTCACTTTTTTAAACGGATGAGACTCTTCATTAATGGCATTTCTTTTGATTGTTTTGAAGTGACAAAGTTTGATTTTAAAAAGTATTGAACAAATAAGAATTCTGGGGAATTCTGGGAATTGAAGTCCACTTCTCTTAAACTTGCTAAGGTGGAGAAATGCTATTCTAAACCAGGTGGGCCTGTTTTTGTTTCTGCCCTTGTTCTAAAATCTTTTCCATGTCTTGTTCTGCCTTGGGTTATTTCTAGTTCCTGCTGATGTCTTTGCCAAAAATTCCTTCTGGAAAGGCTCTTATGAATACATGGGCAAAAAGCAGCCAGCCATGCTTTCTGTCACCAACTTTGATCCAGTCACCAGTAAAGTGAATGCCACCCTGATAGACCACAGCGGTGTGGAGCTGCAAGTCTCTGGTAAGGCAGCCAGTTGGGGGTTTTTCTGCATTCCTGGTGGGAGAAGAAGAGATGATGCCACCTTGATGTCCACCCCATTAAACAACATAGAAAGAAAAATATGTCCATCCAACCTTATCTGCACAACATGTTCTTACTGCCAATATAATGGTTTTTTGTTTTTTTTTTGCTCTCTTCACTCTATCTGCCTGGACAATCAAGTTGAAACATCTGTCTAACATGCAAATCAAATCAATGGTTAATTCTGAATTAACCATTCTGTGAATTCTGTGGCTGCATTCATATTGCACCACATACTAAGATTAACATACTACCATAACCAAACAAATAAACCATGGTATAGTTTACTGTGATGGGTTATATATATCACGAACCATGGCTCACTCCTGAGATTTCACAGTATACGAAACCTAAATGACCCAAAGATGATGATAGAGAAAGATGTTGAAAGTGTGCAGAGAAGAGTAAGAAAGATGATAAAGGGTCTGGAGACTAAATTCTATGATGAATAATTGAGGAAACCAGGTATGTCTAGCTTACTGAAGACAAGGATTGGGTGTGACACATGATAGCTTTATTCCATTACTTGAGGGGCTTTACAAAGAAGAGGAAATTGGCTTACTCTCAAAGGCACCAGAGGGCAGAACACAAGGTAATGGGTGGAAGAGATAATTGTCAAAGAGAGATGACAAGGAAGGAAGGAGAAATTTCATGACAGTGAGAACAATTAATTAATGGAATAGCTTGCCTCCTGGGTTTGTGGATACTCCATCACTCATGGTTTTCAAGAAAAGATAGGACATCCATTTGACTGGGATGGTATAAGATTTCTTCTTGAGAAGAGGGTTGGACTAGAAGACCTCCAAGGTTCATGGCTTTCACAATCCCTGTCTGGATTGTTAGAATCTCTGTATCTTGGGCATCATCCCCTTATTTGTGTTTTTTTTAATCTGCAATTTTAACTATGTTCCCAATTGGAGATGACTCTTTGAAGGCCTTTGCTATCTTTCCTGCATTTTCATTTTCCTGAATAATTTAATGCTACCTGCAGGCTTTGGAAAGAACTAAATGCATGTAATACAGATGAGCTTCCAATATGAGTTCACCAGTTACCAGAGTTGAATGCATTCAAGAACACTGAGGTCTTGTCTTCTCAAATTGCAATGAAATGTCGCCTCTCCCCTCAGTTCTCTTGGGGCTTCCTCACCCTGCTTGCTGCTTGCGTTACAAGAAAAACAATCAACCTTGACTTGCCCGGCTCTCTTATCTTCTCTTTCCAGGTATTTACAAAAGAGAAGATGTCCATCTTCTCCTCCAGTTACACCAAATTACAGGGCCACTAGAGATCTTCATGAACAAATTCAAGAATGATAAGTGGGCATTGGATGGACACGTAAGTCTTTGCCTGAAACGTTTCAATGACAGACATGCAGAGGAATTGTGAACATAACATTGGGGGAATGTGGGAGCTTTTGTAATGATGGTTAGGAACAGCAAAATCTAAGATTAATATTCCCTAACCTGATGGCCTTGGATATGTTGGGTCTGTGACTGTCAGACTTCTCAGCCTCTCTCTCTCTCTCTCTCTCTCTCTCTCTCTCTCACTCACTCTCTCTCTCTCCAATTGTTCATTCTCTCTTTTTAAATTGTTAGTAAAAGAAAAAGAAAAGACTGTTTCACTAATGATTCTAGTTAAAAATATTTAGGCACACTTTTCATTGATGAAACAATCTCACAGTGGAACACTACAAATTTAAATGCCTAACAGGAACATAACAATTGCAAACAAAATGTTAAATATTTAAAAATGTTTAAAAGCCAGAAAACAGTTTGAAAAATTCATCATATGAAATAGGACAATATTTTTTCTAAGATGATACATTTGAGTTACTTCCTTCAGTTCCTTATTTACATTCTTATTTGACCAGGCCTTTTGCTCCTAAGCCTTTCAAGTGAAGATTTGGGATGAAAAGAGCTTGAATGAACTGATGTATAAAAAGAAATGTTTTCTCTTTAGCCAACTAGAGGAGACAGAAAGTGTGGTTAAGATGTTGAACTAGCCACAGCGTTATATCTACTGACCCAGCACCCAGGAACAGCCCTCTAGACTTTTTTACATTTAACAGTGTAAGGCCAAAATAAACCCCAATCTTCAAACACATTTCAATCAAAATTGACCCAAGAAATCCAGAAGATGCTTCAGACAAACACCACAGGAATTCCTCTGGGAAGACTGATCCCAGGATAGCCTGTCTTTGTCTAGATATCTCTATCAAATTTATCCCCATAAAACTATCCCTGCTACAGACAGTCCTCAATTTGCAATCATAGTTGGGACCAGATTTTTCAGGGCTAAGCAACCTAGTTGTTAAATGAGACAGGGTCACTTTTATGACTTTTCTGTAACAGCTATTAAGCAATTCTGGTGTCTCCCGTTGACTTTGCTTATCAGAAACTGGCTGAGAAGGTTGCCATGTGTTGATCACATGACCTCAAGATGCTGCAACTGTTGTAAAAAAAATGCCAATTGCCAAGTGCCCAAATTTTGAACATATGTGACCATGGGGATACTACGACAGTCATAAGTGCAAGGATTGATTGTAAGTTCATTTTTTTCAGTGCTGTTGTAACTTAAACAAGTGGTTATAAGTTGAGGGCTCAGGTAATTTTGTTCCAAGATCCTATAGGTAGCCTGTACTGTCATAGCTTCCATTTCTTTTTAGAAAGATTGTATCACAACATTTGAGCCATACTTTGAACAATTACTAGCATGAAGAATCAGACTAGGTTTGGCATTCTGGTTTCCATTTTTTTTTAAATTCCAGAAATGGTTATACAATTGAGCATCTAAAATTGGATAACTCATTCCATATCTCTAAGCTACCAATATTTATGGGTTTTATTGTTCTGGACAAGGCACTTCCTTCATTATCATTATGGTTGGTGGTAATTTATTCTTTTCCTCAGCAATGGATTTGTCAGGCTACAGAACTTTTTCTCATTCAATTAACAAGAATGAACTTCTGAAAACCAAACATATCAAAAGGAATCCTTTATTGAGATGAGACAATTCATGTAGGAGTTCAAAGCAGCGTCTGAGGTCCCTCAGGCATACAGGGATACATAAGGGAGTTTAGAACCCTCCCCTTATCTCGATGTGTATTTAGAGAAACAAAACCCAGTATGTTAATTCCCCTCCCACCCCTTCTGTAGGAACGATCTTTCTCACAGTTTCCCAGGGCATACCTAATTTTCCCCCACCCCCTTTTTAGAATGAACTTTTTCCAGAGATTCCCCAGATACATCTCACTGTGGAATTTTTTATGATCTTCTCATCTCCTGGCTGTGCCTCTCAGAGGTGATAGTTCTGGCCATCTGGCTTTTCTCCCTCCATTGTATCATGTGTGGGTTATACAAATTCGATATAAGATTAAATATATTCAGGTTACATCAAGAAAGGATTTCTTTATCAGCCTCCCCCCCCCCCTTTTCTTCTTCCACTGAAGAAATGACAGATACATGGATCTGACAGGATTTTTGCTGTGAAACCCAAAACATGCTTTTATTAAATTATTGTATAGTTTTAAATAAATCTGACAATTTCTGGACAAATTGTCCTTAAAACTACAATCACCCTATTCCTATCACTATGATTTTTCATTTTGGATTTGGATTTTGCAGTATTTTTTTCATTTCATGCTCCAAATACAGGTCAGCCCAGAAGCTTCAAGTGGAACATTTGTCTACCAAGGGTTTGTCCATGGCAAAGGTTTTGGACAATTTGGCCTCCAAAGACTAGGTAAGCTGAATAACTTTCAGACCGAAGTTGACCCAAACAATAACTTTAAGTAATTTATATAAGCCACATGACAATTGTGAGATTTTCCATTTATGTTTTAGTGGGTATCAGCTATTGTATATAATTATTTTTCTTTTGAATTGATTATTTTTCTGCCTTTTCAATGTAATTTTTGTTATTTTGTGAAACTAAGTTTCAGGTGTTATTTAAATAAATTCATTCCCAGAATTTTGCCAAATTCTATCCCCTCTCCATCACTTTTCAGCACTTATTATAGTCATTTTGTGAATGTTATTTATACATCTGTATTGTAGTTTTAAAACTGTTCATTGTGTGCATTATGTTAAGTGGGAACACTGTTATGGGGTCTTAGGCTTCAAGTCAAACAAATAAAAGGAACATTTGGCTATTCATCTTGGGAAAAACCATAGCAGGCTAACTTTATGTTTTGGTTTGTCTCATAAAAAACAAAATCTTTCTTTGAAATCTTTCTTTGAAAGATTTCATTGAAGAATGAGAAAGTGACTGTGAATTAATGGATAAGTGTACCAGCACTCTGTCAAGCCTACTAGTTCACATGAATTTAATTCAATTACCATTCTCATTAATCCCATCAGACATTATTTAATTAGAAGTGATAGGGATTAAATCTGAGATTTAAATATTTTGTTATATTTATATGCAGCAGATGTGCCAGGACAGCCCCTGGTCTCCCCTTCCCAATTGTACTTGGCACCGGTAATTTAATGGTGTTTCTTTTTGCAGATAGCAGCAGCATTGAACGGGATCCTGAATCAATAGGACATCCATTTGCATCCAACAGCAGCTCAGTTGCAGCTGCGATCCTTGTGCCTTTCATTGCCCTGATGATTGCAGGGTTTGTGCTCTATCTCTACAAGCACAGGTGAGATGTTCCAAGTAGAGAAGGCTGAAAATAACCTCTTAGGGCTTCATAACAAGGATTGCAATAATAATTATGGGTTTTCTGGTCCAGTGTCCTCCGGATTAAATCTCATTTCTTATGATCCCCATGCAGCATGGCTAGTTGTTAGCCATATCAGGTAGACCAGACTAAGAAACAGGCCTCAAGCAGATCTCACCTACCTATATCTTAAATAATTACAGTAACAGAATCTTGCAAGTCTGAATGTGCTAAGTTTCCTTCCACTTTTATCTCTATGGAAATTGGAGAGATGGAGGACTTGAAATATTGCTTCCAGTTTTGGTCACCATGATATAAAAAAGATGTTGAGACTAGAAAGAGTGCAGAGAAGAGTAACCAAGATGAATAGTGGGCTGGAGTCTAAAATATATGAAGAACGGTTGCAGGAATTGGGTATATTTAGTTTAAGGAAAAGAAGGACTGGGGGTGACAGGATAGCAATCTTCCAATATTTGAGGGGCTGCCACAAAGAAGAGGGTGTCAACATATTCTTCAAAGCACCAAAAGGCAGGTCAAGAAGCAATAAAGTATCTAAGGAGAGAACCAACCTAGAAATAAGGAGAAATTTCCTGACAGTTAGAATAAATTAATCAATGGAACTACTTGCCTCCAACACTGAAGGTTTTCAAGAAAAGATTGGACAAAAATTTGTCTGAAATGGTATAGGATTTCCTGCCTGAGCAGCAGGTTGGGCTAGAAGATCTCCAATGTCCCTTCCAAATCTGCTATTCTCTTATTCTATTTAGGCATTTTTGCAAATGCCTGTGCTCAAGTTTAATTTAACTTATTGTTGCCTTGTTTGTGGGCCTTCCTTCTGTTTTTATTTTATTTTATTTATTTATTTTTGTCAATTGTTTACAAGATAATGGATAAAAGTAAAAACATAGTTATGAATACATGGATACATATAAGAAAAGTAAAAAAATAAAAGAAACAATAGGACAGGGACGGTAGGCACGTTGGTGCGCTTATGCATGCCCCCTACAGACAGAGTTGCAGATTACAGGATAGTTTTTTCCTGAAACCAAATTGTTTATTAGAGAGTAGGTTGTTGTTTCTAAGTGGAAGATGATGGATTGGTTCATAATTGTTTCCATGACTTTACAGGTGACGCAGCATAAGGAGATTGGTCTGTAATTTTCAACTAGGCAGGGGTCTCCCTTTTTGAAGATGGGGATGACTGTGGCTTGTGACTATAGTTTTGGCAAGGAGCTGGTCCTGAAAGATTTTTCAAAGATTATACTTAGAGGTTCGGATATGGCAGAGGATAGCTTTTTTAAGAAGTAGGCACAAATTCCGTCCGGTCCAATAGATAGAGATGGTTTCAGATTGCGTAGTGCTTTTTCAACATTGTCTTCTGTAAAATCGATATTTATTAGATCATTGCAGTTGTCTGTGGTTCGACTAGGAAATACTGGGCATGATCCATTGCTGTTTACCAATACTGAGCCAAAGAATGTGTTAAAGAGGTTGGCTTTAATGGTGTCATCGTTGCAGTCTTTACCATTAGGTCCTTTCAGGGGTGGGATGGACCTTGAGTCTTTTAGTTTGTTGTTTACAAAATTGTAGAAAGCATGGGTGGAAGTGGTGCATAGAAGGTTTTCTTCTTGTTTAATGTGATAATTGGTGCATTCAGTTTTTATCTGGTGGCATAAATTTTTGTATCGGCTTTTGAAGTTGGCAATGTGACCAGATTTGTTTTTCCGCCAAAATGATTTCTTTTGGGATTGAAGTTTCCTTATTGTTATGGGTAATTTTTTCTGGTTTTGGGAGTTGTTAATGGTACATATAGTTTGATGACTCTTTTGACTTCAAGTAAAAATATGTTGTAATGGTCTTCTACAGTATTGCATCCAGAGAATAGAAATTGCCAATCTAGGGATGAGAGATCATTGTTTATAAGATCATAGGTGCCTTTTTTGAAGTTATAATTGGGGATTCCGTCATTGTGATAACTTTTGTGTGGACGTATGTTGAGACAAAAGTCAATCATTTTGTGGTCACTGTTGGAAAAGGGTTCTTTAATTTGTATTCTGTAAATTGAATTCAAACTATTGCAGAAGATGAGATCGAGGCAGTGGTTAAGTCTAGTGTTGTTGGTTACTAGTTGTTCCAGTCCCAGATTTATTACTGCATTGTAAAAAGTTGCATGTGTGGGTTCAGTTGTCCTTCTTTATTCACTGCATTAGTGTTGAAAGTTACCATCCAATGCCATGGGAAATAGTATCCATTTCTTTCATACTTTCTATCAGCCAACCACATTTGTACTTCTCCAACTAGAAATTTCCTAGAACTAATTTCCTATCAGTGAAAACAATTAACCAGTGGAATGGCTTGCCTTTAGAAATTGTGGGTGCCCCAGTGCTGGGGGCTTTTAAGAAGGGACTGGACATCTACTTGTCTGAAATGAAACAGGGGTCTCCTGTTCAAGCAGGGGATTGAACTAGATAATCTCCAAGATCCCTTCTAACCATTAACTAGTAGTTGAATATTCTGTTCAGCAAAGCTAGGCTGATGCCACAGTTAAACTGCACTTTGGGGTGCTTCGTTTCAATTAATTTGAACAAGAGAGGTAGAAGAGACAAACAGAATGTTTACAGATTTTAATGCATTGTAGTTTCTATATGTACCTGTTCTGCAGAGCCCTTCCCCCTATGACCTCTTTGTCCTCTTTGAAACAGAAGGAGACCGAAGGTGCCGTTCAATGGCTACGCCGGCCATGAAAACACCAATGTCCGAGGAACATTTGAAAACCCAATGTATGACCGCAATTTGCAGCCAACAGACATCATGGCCAATGAGGCAGAGTTTACCGTCAGCACTGTGTGCACTGCAGTATAGCACTTACAATTCTGTGTGCAGTAAGTATCACACAAATTTCTCACATATGCTTTTCAGCTACTACCGGGACCCATCAAATTATCGTTAGTCTAGCATTTAATTTGAACAGGGTTGGGTAATAATAATCACTATTATTCACATCTTAGTAAGAGAAAATGACTGTCACAGCTGCAGTGACCATTTCTGGCCATAAGAAAGTGGAAATATTATTCAGATCCAAGCTTCAAGAGATAATTTTTTAATTACCAGCAACAACATTTTGTAAGATAGAGCAGCTTAAAAAATAATATGCTACATATCATCCATCCCTCCATCTATGCACCTATCCGTCCATCCATCTGTCCATCTGTCCTTGATGCTGACCTTGATTAGTTTCTGCAGGGCTTAGCATGTTTTGCAGATCCTGCCAATTTGATTAGCTTATGGCTTAAGCCCAGAAAATGGCTTAAATCAATACCAAATTAAGGGTGTTGCACAATTGAATTGCCAGCATGTCTAGACAGTAAAAAGTGACTGAAGAGTTTTATATTTCTTCAAGATACTTGCTCCAATAGGCTACAAAGGGAGTTTGTTCTGTGTATCAGCCATCACTTAGTTCAGTCAAATATGCTGGCAATGCCACAATAACATCCTGTTAAATTTTCTGTGTGCTTTCAGAGATTTGTTGAGCCATTAATGTTACCATTCCTTTGAGAACTATTTGGGCATTTCTTTTTTTAAAAAAAAATACTCTAGGATGTATTTTTGGATGCAGGGATAGGTAAACTATTTCTGGCCAGAGGGGTTATCAAATGTTTTATTTATTTATGGTCTTGGAGTTTGACGGAGTGTTGATAATGTGATGATGTCATGGTGCAGAATCAGGAACCATATTTTCAGGTTTTAAAGTATTATTTGGAACAGTGCTTCAAGAGTATCACTTTAATTATGCTGACAAAAATGTCATAGGTGGGCTGAAGGGATATAGGCCCTAGCCCTCCTTCCCAATTAAACTGATCATCCATCCATCTTTAAAAAAATAAAAACACAACATAAAAATTTAAGTTAACAGCAACAGTGGCTCGTTCAAGTGAAAGCTTCTTGTGATAGAAATCCCTTTCTCCCTTGCCCCCTCTGTGTGTATGTATGTGTGTCCATTCTCTTCTCCGTGCAGCCTTCTCCAGAGATGGGAATCTCACCAGTGCCCAATGATCCTCCTGGTTCATCTTCGCCCATGATCTCCTCACCCAGAAATGTTGGGGCTGCAGAGTTGATGTGGTGCCTTTGAGCTGATCCAGAGAGAGAGAGAGAGAGAAAGAGAGAGAGAGAGAGACTGCCTTGCTGTTTATCACTGCTCCGCATCTTCATTGCCCATAGTCCTGCCCTCCTGCAACTGATAATCAGATCTACCAAAGCATCCACCCCAGCTCTTGTGCCAAGAACACAAGATGTGGAAATCTATCCTCCTCCCTCTCCTCCAGAGATGCCCCTCCCCATCCTTGAGCCTTTTTCTATCAGTTCCTGGCCAACCTTTGGACTGGCTGTCTGTGCTCAAAGACCATTGATTGTCCCACTGTTTGCCTGTGGTTGATAATCACCTTTCTGGGGGAAACTTCAATATAAGAAAATGCACCCACCTGGCTGCCAGAAGAAACTACACAAGAGGAAGCAGGCACATGCTGCTTGAGGAGATTTGTGGATGCAGAGAACTTGGGCTAAATGTATCCAGCGTATCAAACTCATACAGCAAGTTTAGCATCTGGAGAAATGTTCCTTAGATATATGTTGGTTCTCCTCCTCTCCCTTCCTCACCCTTATATATTTATTTTATATTAATATTCTAGTTGAAGAATGTCACATTTCTGACCCTCCTTGCAATCCCCTGAGAAGGCCTCCCATTCCTACCCTCCAATTTGCATTTTTAGAGCATTTGATTCTTACGTTTTCTAAAGTTGGCAGTCCTTCCCATCTCTAGTTCCAATGATTAGATCAAGTCAGAACCACTTCTTTTAAACTAAATGGTTATCTTTGCTTGGTTGCTGCTAGCTTTAGGGTGATCCAGAGAAAATACAGTGATGCAGTTCTTGGTATAAGAAATGGGCCTTCTCCTTTACAGAACTTGGAGAATCCAATTATTGCTATCTCAGTCCCAGCTCATGCATTTCTTGGAGGTCTGTTACAATTTGCCAGCTCCTGATCTACAATTATTTTCTTTCAGGGGGGAGAGTAGCATCCCAGCCAGGTATTTTCATTGCTTTGTGCAATGGTTTTTGGACCTTAGCAGCATGAGGATCATGGACACCTATTATTCTGTGTCTATGACATCACAAATACCTGATGTGACTAATTTATTTTTCTGATTTATATATATTTCTATATTTCTAAGAAGTCAAATGCCACCTTAGAAGGTCCATTCACTTGATGTTCCAGTTTTTGAAATAAAATGGTAAGTAACTTTCCCTACTGCATTATCACATGCTTTCACTTACCTGTTCTGCTTCATCCTTGGCTATATAAACCCACTGCAGGGCTAAATGGACAACACACCTGTTAGCGAAAGACCTCATTCAGCTATTCCCATCTATTATTATGAGGATCTTGCACTACTGTCCTGGTTTATCTAGGCCCGACATCCAGGGATTTTTTTCTGCCTGGTTCTCCTCATGAGGCTGCCTTATACCAATTCACTCATCTACTGCAGCATGATCTACACCAGTAGCAACAGAAAGGGGCCGGGACTGCCTGTTGCCAACAAGCTTCCGGTGGTTCACCATCAGGCATTGAGCACCATTCCATGTTCTTTAAAATGCCAAGGATGGAGTCTAAGAAACTTTGCACACAAAAGTAAAGTCTTATGACCTTTCCCCAATAGCCTGATAGAGTCTCATCTCAGGTTATCTAAGAGTTTTCAAATACAGTCAACAAGGCTGCCAACCCGTCACTCTTGGCTTCCATCCCATCCTGCTGCAAAGGTGAGCACAATCTATGCCATGACATCATTGCCCTAAACCTTTCCCACTGCAACAGTCCATGCTGCAGAGAAGGGGACAGCATAACACAATGGGATTAAGAGTAGAATTAACTCAGGCATTGCAAAGAACAGAGAGCCAGGCCTACAGAGCAGCAGTGGCCTCATGTTGCTCCTACCATCTAGTCAAGCTTTCGGTCTCTAGAGTCTGGAGAATATGAAGAAACCCAGGACAGGTTTAAGACTGACATCCATCTCCCAAAGGTGCTTTTTCCAAAAGACAAATGGACTTTCTGGTTGTTGTTTTTTTTTACTTTTCTTTCAGCATTGCATTTTTTTTTCTTTAAACATTTTTTAAACATTTCATCTCTCACCCAAGGAGCTCTGATAGAACTGAAGAAGCCTTTCAGTTGAGAAGTGAAACACTCAAAGAAAAAAACCCCAAGAAATTCCAATTGCCTTTTAGAAAAAAAGCACCTTTGGTACAGCCATGACCTGAATGATTGAGAACCTCCATGGACTGACACCCATGGTACAACTGAAATAAATTGAGGATAGAGGAAGAGAGGAACTCTTCCTTGCCCAACCCATTGAGTTTGTATCTGCAATTTTAAATATATCTTCTGCAGACCCAGCCAGGTTAACTACAGCAATGAATAAAAGAGTCAAGATGGAACATGGAACATGGAAATTGCTTCTACCTGCCATAATTTCACCAAATGGTTATTCCCCATGGAAATGGAGTGAGCATCCTGGCCCAAGGCACTTTCCAGATGCTCCTCCATCATTACCATACAAGAATGATAGCTCTGAGAGAAGAGTTTGAAGAACACCCTTTCGTTGTCTAGCTGGCTCATTCTGTGGCTAAACCACAGAAACCACGAAAACCAGCAGCTTTCGTAGAGTGAGTGCAAGCTAAGAACCTGGCATCACACAGGTTGACAAGCTCAGGCTTCCCCAGACTTGGGTCCCCTAAGTTGGTTGGAAGTTACAAGCCCAACACTTGCAGGACACAAATTAGGAAAGATTGTTGAAGCTATTCTTCAAAAGGATCTGGAGAAAATGCATCCTTGAAACCCAGTCCTAAAAATCATAGGATTTCATTTCATGTTTTGTTTCATCTTTCTTACTTCTATCCCATATTCTTTTTTCTCTGCTCACCTGTTTATTCATTCATTCTGTGTGTGTATGGAAAGATAAGGAATTGCTGATACCCAAAAAGAAAGAGGAGTGACACAGAAGCCTTTGGAACATCTTCCTAGAGAGTTTGAAGGCCAGCTTAAGGCAACCGTGGGAGCTGTTTTGTTTTTCCTCATTAATTGACCAGTTCTGTTCACATAAAAGGCAAGAGGAAGGGGGAGGCAATCATTTTCATGACTAACAAGGTTAATATCTCCAGTTAGGAAAAAGCTGGATTTTTCTTCTTCTTCTGCCTTACAATTTTGGAACATCTGTTCATCCCAGCCTTTTCCAGAAGCAGGTCTGAGCTGTCTTGTTGAACAAAGTGTCTTGCACAAAAAGTGGAAGGTGTTAGGTTTCTTTGCTGCCTTTGCTTCTTAGTCAAACAATTTGATAAAACCCAGCCTTGATAACAAATTATTACATACTGCATAAATAAAATGGATAGGGCAAGTACTTAGGTCAGAGGTCCTCGATGCTCTCTGAGCTTGGTTGTTTTTTTGCAGGTTTCATTACCCAAACTCGATCAGTTACCTAGTTTGGGTAACAAAATATCTGCAAGGAAACAACCAAGGTCAAAGAGCACCAAGGACCTCTGAGCTATAAATATTCTTCTGTATTGGCAAGATGATATTAATAACTACCCACTTGACCTTAAAAATCCCATCTTGACCCTGTTGAATTTTCCAGGCCTGTATAAACAAATTTTCAACTACACGCTAAGGATTTAGACCAACCTTCCATGCAACTGGAGGGCATTAATTAGACTCAGGATGAGACAGATGTAAATGGATGGATTTTCAACACAGTTACAGATGGAGCTTGCGGGATTCTTTTTCAGGGGAATGCAGTAGCGTATATAATTTTTGATATT